TTCAAGACTCATGCTCCTCTGTTTGAAATGAGAACAAACCATATGAAGACTAGATTGCCACTTTGGTGGCCCAGTGACCTAAGAATATTGTCCATAAGGGTCTAAAGCCATCTCTGAGACATGACAAAGAGAGTGAGTATCCTCACTCTAAGAAACCCCATAGATCAACTCTGTCCTAAAGGTTCCCCCACCCCAGTCTCTGGATCAAAGCAGTCAGTGGACACAGGTGTCACCAGTCACCAGATGAATTAGGAGCCATGTGAGCCGTGATCTGCTTTCAAGAGGTTTGTTACCGATCATCACCAACCGGTGTGTGAGCTGGGTGTGCCTGGTCGGCTTCGCTCTGCCGTCTCTTAGCAACCGTCTCTAATGCCTGTTGGCTTCTGGTTGAAGGGTTCTTCAACACGTCGCAACTGATGTTTTTCCTCTTCTGTTGCAGAGAGCTTGGGGAGGAGGGACTAGGCACAGGTTTTATTTTAAATTCTATTTCCCCAGCATTTCTTTATCAACACTTAATAAAAGACACCTTTTGGAAATGCTTTAGGTTCTAGGAGGTGCTTTTTTTTTCTTCTTCTATGACTTGGTTTGATTTTTTTCTTCTTCTGTGACTCGGTTTGATTTTTCTTCTTCCATGACTTGGTTTGATTTTTCTTCTTCCATGACTTGGTTTGATTTTCACACAGGAAGCATTCAACCCTTCTCTGGAGCTGCCTGTCCAGAAGACTTTGGGTGTGGCCACCGGAAGTGGGGCCATACTTGTTGCTCTGGTTGTTGCTGAGTTGGCAAAGCAGGGGACAGAGCCAGTACCCCTCACGTCCACTGAGAGAAACACAGGAGGAAAAACAGAGCCAGAGGTGTGTGTGCATCGCCTGCCCAGTCCTAGGCGTACCTCTGGCCTCTCAGGCCCGGCCCTGGGGTCCCAGAATCTGCCCTGCGGCTGAGCCAGGTGGCCTCCGACCGCCAGAACCTCTCCCTGCGTGCTGGCCTCTCTTCACCTGCCTCCACCCATTCTGACTCCAGCGTGGGGATAAGACGTGCCCTTCAGGGATTTTAGCGCCCACATCCCACCCCTGGGCTGAACCGCCTGTTTCCAGGCAACCCAGCTTCCAAGGTGGAATGCCAGTGTGAGAGGGGAGAGATATATTCTGTGCTGTGAATGAAGAGCCCCGGCAGCTGCTAAAGTAAACAAAAAGAAATAAGGAGAAGGGGTGGAGGGAAGGAGGAGGAGGAGCCAGAGATGGATTCTAGAGGAGTCAAGGTGGTTGCACAGGACGGGGTGTGGCAGTTGAGCATGTATCCTGAGGGAAGAGCAGCCCCCAGGTGGTGACCACAGCAGGGAGGTAGCCGTGACTACATATTAGGAGGGCGTCTCTGAGAGGGAAGGGCTGCTTTTCTCCCCGTTCACAATGACCAAGGTAAGAAATCAATGGTGATATCCATTGGTGGGTGGATGGAGATGGAGAGGTAGATAGGTAGAGGAAATGTGGTACTTACACACAATGAAATACTAGTCAGCCTTGAAAGAAAGGAGAGCACCTGATTGCTGAGACAGCATGGACGGGCTGGAGAACATGTTTTGTGAAATAAAACAGCCCCAGAAAGGCACTGCATAGCCTCTCGCATACGCACGACCTTAAAGTGGTTCCTAGAGGCTGGGAAGGGGCACATGGAGGGAAGGTGGATAATGGATCCCAGAGTGCCACGGGTAAGAGGGATGTGTGCCAGTGTCCGCAGCCCACAGTGGGCACCAGAGCCCCCAGAGCTTTATCATGTGTTTGATAAAGAGCTAGAAGATAGGAGAGATGACTTTTGGCAGAGATGGTAATGGGATGGGTATGCGAATGACCTTGCTCTGATCGTTGCACATGACAGTAGACATATCTACTGTCATACTCTAGTAGGCATTGTTAAGAAGGGGGGGTGGTGTAGCCAGAACCCCACCCTCTGGTGTGGGAAGGGTGAGTCACTGCCCTGGAACTCCTGGTGAGCCTGGTTGTGCATGGCCAGGCCTCTCCCTGGGCGCCCTGAGTAGCTCTGGGGAGAGGCTGGGAGCCTGTAGGGCAGCACTAGAGTCCAGGAAGGGTCCCAGAGGCCACGGACTCCAGTCCTCCTCCAGCACATGGGGAAACTGAGGCAGCAGTCCTCTCAGGAGTGACTGGGGGAAGAGGTGGTTTCCAGCAATGGCGTCCGGGCAGCAGTGTGAACGTGGGAGCCGGTGTGAGGCGTGCGTGTGGCGCGCGTGGGGGACCTGCGTGTGCTGAGTGATGAGTATCTGGGAACTGGAGTCCCTGAGGGCGCGTGTGCCTGTGTAAACGTGACTGGACGTTGGTGTCCGCGTGTGAGCGAGTGTGCTGGCGACCACCTCTGCGTGCCGTTGGCTGCCTGGGCCGGGCAGAGGCACGGGGCCTGGCTGGCGCTGTGGAGGCTTTCCTGACAGTGCTGGCACTGCCTGGAGAGGGCCGCGTGGCTATCCGGTGTGGCTATTTCCTGCTCAAAGTATCTACATGCAGTGGAGAGCAAGGGACGATCCCGGTAGACATCACGTAGGAAAAGATGCAAAATGAGCTGGGTGTCAGTGACTCACAATCCTAGCTACAATCCTAGCTACTCAGGAGGCTGAGATCTAAGCCAGGCTGGGCAGGAGATCTCACAAGACTCTTATCTGCAATGAGCCATCACCTTCCTGGGGTTTCAGGCAGAGGACATTGCCCAAGCTGTCACCGTGGTGTGGAGGAGCCGGAACATGGAAAAATTGGGGTTCAGTTTTCCCCGAACATGGAAAAATTGGGGTTCAGTTTTCCCCGAACATGAAAAAATTGGGGTTCAGTTTTCCCCGAACATGGAAAAATTGGGGTTCAGTCTTCCCCTACCAGCTCTGTGTTTTCCTGCACCTCTGTATCCTCACCGGTGAAGAGTTTACAGATTCGTTACAAATTGCACAAGGTTGATTTGGGGTTCAGACTATAATCTCACCCTGGATTGCACATTCATATATTAAGGCAGCAAAGGTTCTTAGAGGTGATAAGCACGAGACAATACAGATTCACCTTGCACTTTAAAATGTTCGGATGAACCCAAATGGTAAGTAAGCTTTTTGTCTCTTTATTCTTTCAGTGCTAAATTGCTTTTCTTGAATACAACATTGCAATTTTCTTTCATTTTCTGTCCTTTTTCAGTGCTGGGAATCAAACTCAGAGCCTCACCTACTCACTTGGCTTGTTTGCTCAAGGCTGGTGCTCTACCACTTGAACCACACCTCTACTTCTGGCTTCTTGCTGGTTAATTGGAGATAAGAAGTTTTTTTTTGGATTTACCTGCCTGGGCTGACTCTGAACCATGATCCTCAGATCTCAGCCTCCTGAATAGCTAGGATGACGGGTGTGCGCACTTGCACTGGGTTTTACAGTGCAGTTGTAAAGTCTGTCTGTCCATTCTGGCCCTGATCAGGCTCTTCTTTTAAGATGGCCCAATAAGTGACACCCCTGACCCCACCCCCACATCATTTTTCTGTATGATGTTTTGAGATTTTTTTTGGTCAGTCATGGGGCTTGACCTCAGGGACCAGGTTCTGTCCCAGAGCTCTTTTGCTCAGCTACTGCTCTCTATGGCTTATGAGCTACAGCACTACTTCTTGTTTTCTAGTAGTTTATTGGAGATAAGAGTCTCAAGGGGACTTTTCTGCCCGGGCTGGCTTTGAATCGTGATCCTCAGATCTCAGCCTCCCGAGTAGCTAGGATGACAGGCGTGAGCCATTCACACCCGGCTTAAAATCTTTTCTCTTTGAAACTACTTTTTAAGCCCAAGTTACAGCTCAGTTGATGAGTCAATCCTCACAAAGCTTCCAAGGGAACGCATCGTTGGGCCCTCCGCAGAGCCGTTATTCCCAGCTCTGTGATTCCGCCGCGTGGCTCGGCGGCCAGTCCCTAGGACGCCGGTCCAGAGGACTGCAAGGTGGAAGGACTTGGCGTGGGGCTCGGGGCGGCCCTGGAAGAGCTGCTCTGCTTCAGACTTACAACGCGGGGAATCGCTCTTCTGTGCACCAGTGGGCCAGCTCTTGTTACCTGTCTGCGGGAAGCTAGAGAGGCTTTCTTCATCTCCTGTGAACTCTGCTCGGGCTTTCTACACACACCGTGCACCTTCAACCGCCAAGAGCAAAGGCATCTGGGGATCTGACATAACGTTTAAAAATCCATTCTGTATACCACCTGCCGGCTGCTGAAGCGAAAGGCACACCACCTAGAGTCCCACCTCAAACCCTCCTTCCCAAAGAGTCCTCCACACAGCCTCTCAGCCCCGACGTCTCTGTACCTTTGGACTTGGGAGTTATTGTTGGACTTTGCTTGGTGCTGCCCAAATAGCTCCAATGGTGAGCATGTTGCCATGGGCGATGCTCCCAACCCCCAATATACATTCCGATATTATATTAGGTTAGTGGAAGTCTCCTTCTGAACACAGCTCCTGCCAACCCAGGAGGAGGGGCTGGCGCTGGGCCGGGGGACACGTTGGTGCCTTCCAAGTGGCATTGTCACGCTGTGTGAAGGCGCTTCTCTGAGCCTGATGTGCTACTTTGATTGGACTCTGTCTTCTCTTGCCAGTTGGGAATGACAGGGTAAGAGAATACTTTGTACTCGGTGGAGTCAGATAGAGGTCTGAAATGCGTTTTCTGCGCAACAATGAGATGCTTCACGGTGATGTGGCTGGGGCTGTTGTCTGCTCGCCTTTCCTAAAAGATGCCATCTGCCTGGGGCAAGAATAGGCCGTGAGATGCAGGTGCCTCCAGGGAGGCTGCCGCGGCGGTGGCAGGCGTTAATGAGCGGGCATAAGGGACTCCTCGCATCAGCGCGCTCTCTGAAGCCATTGCTGCCGCCAGCCATCTCGGGGACAGAAGGGCCCTTTCTGCAGCCTGGGGTGGCTCAGGACCCTTTTGTGTCCCTGCTCAGGCTCCAGACTGCTGTGGGGAAGGCCCTGAGTCCTGCACTGCCCACTGCTCCTACCGGACGATGCCCACGACCCTGGGGCTGGCCCTGCTGGCTTGGGCTGGCGCCCTTGGCCTGAGCCAGGGGAGCAGCTTCACAGGTGAGGGGCCTGGGACTCAGGCTCGAGTGGGGGTCGGGTGAAGGGTTCCCTGGGAATGGGTCTCATGAGGATGGGACTTCTCGGGCTCAGGGCAGGCCAGGACACAGCTGCTCTGAGAGGGGCACCTTCTCAGGGCTGGCCGCCACCGCCGTCGCTGTGGAGGTGGAAGGAACAGGGAAGAGCACTCCTCCAGCATGTGCGTGAACCGGGAGCGGAAGGGGGTCTGTGGGTTCAGTCGCAGACGGGCAGGGGCTGTGTTGGGGTACGGCCAGGAGCTCTTCTGCCTTTCTGCAGACGGCTGGGAGATGGCAGGCCTGAGGACCACACTGAGAACAGCCAGTCCCTAGAGACCCGGAATAAAGATCTCTTACCTCTCAGTGCCCCGAGGCCCTGGCTACAGATGGGGACAGGGCGGCAGAGTGGTGGGTCCACCCCTGGCCAAATCCCTCTGGGGGGGTGAGGGGCATTGAGTGCACTGTCCCAAGTGTTGGGGGTCAGGAGTGCGTTGTCAGGAAGTGTGTGGTTGGCAGGGTTGCCGTGGAAACCACAGTGTGGGGGCTGGATGCAGTTCAGGGGCTCAGTGTCTGCCCAAGCCACTGGATTTCTGAGGCTCGGGATTCCAAGGAATCCAAGTGGCAAACCTTCAGTTTTCCTCTTCAGATCTGTAGTATTAAATGGAGAGTTTAAAGAGATATTCTATTCCTGTAATCACCTTCATTTAAAAAAAAATAAGTCCGTGTTTTTTTTTCATCTAGAGTTGATTTTACTTTGAGGGATGATGATGATGATGATGTGGCTTTGGAGTTAGGTGTGTGAATCATGCAGCTCAGGCGCGGGGCAGGTGGGGACACTGTGGGGTTTGTGGTCCCTTTCATGGACGAGGGTTCAGAAGAGTGGTGGAGCTCAGACTCCTGTCTCAGGTCCTCTCCGGTGCCCAGCGCTGGCCCCACACACAGGACTTTGCTTGCTCTTTCTATGACCACAGAGCATAGTGCTTATTTTATAAATGGCAAGGTTGGGGTGCACGTGTGTTCCTAGGGGCATCTGGGCTGGGGAGGCCTGTAGCTCTTCTCCACAAGGGGAGCCCTGTGGAGGGGAGCAGAGGCCCCGGGGTCTTGGGGGGGTGCTGTGAAGTGGGTGCAAATATGGCTGCATCTGAACTCAGCATCCTGAGCTCTCCAGCATGTTGTCTTCCCACCTCGGACTGGACTCCAGGCCCCATGGGACCAGCGATGGCACCGCAAGGAGTTGTTGACTGGCAGAACCTGCTAGAAGATTCCACTCTGGCTCTGTCAAGAAGCCAGGCTTGGGGCTGCCATGGTAGCCTCTACAGCGGGTGAAAACAAAACAAGACAAACACCTGCCAGGCTTCCCTGGAGGGGTGTGTGTGTGTGTGTGTGTGTGTGTGTGTGTGTGTGTGTGTTCCCATGTGGGGTAAGGAGAAGGCTCTGCTCCAGGCCGTGTAATGATCAGAGAGAGCCAGGTGTCTCTAGAGACCAGGCACTCTGGCCTTCGCGGCATGGCTGACTGCTCATGTGGGGTTCAGTTGGACAGCTCTGACCCGCCTCCACCTCACTAGCTTCTTATGGACATTTGTCTTGCTCCACATGACCACAGAATGAATCTCACACTCTTTCTTCTGGCATTTTCTACAGCTCTTCATCCAAGTCACATCCTGGTCCTGGCCTTCTGAACACCTCTGCCACGTGTTCCTCTCCAGGGAATACTGTAAGGTCTTTGCTGAAGACCAGCAAGAGGTCCCCCTCCCCCAGCCCTGTCAGGCCAGGCCAGGCCAGGCTGACCCCATGGGGTGGCTGGAATGCAGCTGCCTCCAGGGGAGGGGGGTCCATGGGAAGGGGGCTGGGTATCATATGAAGCCGCTTGTCCATCCTCTACTGAGAGGCTTGGAAGGGACCCCTGGGCCTCGCCCAAGCCCTGGAAGCCCAGCCAAGAGATGCTGGAGGCACTAGATAGCGTTAAACAGGAGACATTTCACACTCAGGCCAGACCACAAGACCCGGGTGTTGAGGCTGGAGAGAAGGCCCAGTTCCAGGCCCAGTTCCAGCTTGGTCACTTTTGGCAATCTTTGGCCTTTCTTGGCTGATAGAGGAATTGCCCTACTGCCTGCTTGTATCTTGTGTGACTTTGTGTGTGTGTGTGTGTGTGTGTGTGTGTGTGTGTGTGTGTGTTCACGGGGCCACGTCCAAATTTCCCTTGTCCCTGAGCACAGGCCTCCTGACTCAGGGCCACCCTGGGCCCTCACCTCACCTCTGTGGTTGGGATCACGTCCTGAGCAGGAGGTGACAGGGGCTCCATAGGGGGCAGGGCAGGACAAAGAGAAGAGCTGGCAGAGCGCACTGTGCTCAGGCCAGGCTACCGAGACAGCCCTCCCCCTCCCCGCCCCCACCCCGTCCATGGGGCAATCCCACCCATGGCAATGGTGACTTGTCTTCCCTCAGCATGAGGCGGAAGCACACAATGCAGCTTAAATATGTATCTTCCACTCTGTTCCCCTCCCCAAAGGCTGTCATTGTCACCTTCTGGCCTGCAGCGGTCTCTAGGAGACACTGTAGCCTGTGGGATCTTTCTACAGACTGGGAAGCATGGGAAATCGGGCTCTGATCCCTGGGTCTTTGATGCCAACTCTGTATCTGTTCTTTAGCTAATTATTTTATTTATTTATCTTGTGCTGGAACTGAGAACTGAACTGGCTTGGCTTTTTATGCTCAAAGCTGGTGATCTACCCACCATTTGAACCACACCTCCATTTCTGGCTTTGTGGTAGTTAATTAGAGATAGTTGTCTCACGGACTTTCCTGGGCTGGCTTTGAACCATGATCCTCAGATCTCAGCCTCCTGAGTAGCTAGGATGACGGGCGTGAGCCAGTAGGGTTTGGCTCTTTAACTCCTGAGTTATTATCAGTCACAGATGTTCTCTGCACACGTGGGGTCAGAGACCCATAGTTAGGACAGTGGGTCAGCTCCATGACCCTGTCAAAGGGCAGAAGCCTCATTCCTGTTGATCTCTCAGTGGCTCACCTTTCTGATTCTGCCTGCTGGTCTGACCCTGGTGTTTTCCTCCCCGCCTGCCTCCTCCTTATCTTAGAGAAAGGCCTGTCCTTGCTAAGCTACCAGCTGTGCAACTACCACGTAACACGAAGGGTACAGAAGGTGGAGGCGGTGCAGACGTCCCGCGTGATCTACACTTCCTGCGGCGGCTGGATCCCCTGGAGGCAGTGCCCCAAGACTGTGTACCAGACCCAGTACCTGGCCACGGAGGTCCCCGAGTCCAAGAACGTGACCGATTGCTGTGAGGGCCACGAACAGCTCGGCCTCTACTGCGTCCTGCGTGAGTCCAGGATCACAGGGTGGGACAGGCAGCTCCTGGGGTAGCAGTTGTTGGGACAGCCCCTGTTCAAGCAGCCTGAATGTGCCAGATCTTTCTAGAACACAAGTGTTCAGCCTCCATCTGGCAGGCTTCTTGTTGGCCCACCCCAAGGTTTCCAATTTCCCAGGGTCAGTGCGAAGTTCTAGAATTCTCTTTCTTAACACATTCTGGGTGACGCTGAAGTGTGGGCCAGGGCCCTGGCTTCAGGCCCTGGGTCTCACCCGGGCCTGCACGTGGAGAGTCTCTGGGCGCCTGTAGCCATGCGGCACCGGGGCTCCCCCCTGAGACCGTGGGGAGCAGAGCTTGGGCTTGGGGGACACTAAAAAGTTCTTGTGAGTCTAATTTAAAGCAAGGCAAGAGGGCTAGCTTTCTACACAGTGACCTTTGCCTGTTCTTCCTTTTTCCTTTAAGTTGTCACCCCTCTGTCTCTCTCCCTCTTCGCCGTTCCACCCGTTTCCGAAGGCCAGCTCCGCAGGTTCATTGTCCTGTTTGTATCACATCCCCATCACCCTCCTCACTCCTGCTAGTCTCCCACGGAGCCTGTTTTGGCCTCATGTCATTTTTTAAAAGGTGTATGTTAATTGTACCCAGGGGTTTCGCCATTGGTATGTTTGGCACGTCACATGTGCATGCATTAGAGTTGAGTCAGATTAACTCCCTTTATTGCTCTCTCTTTCTATTCTCCAACTCCCATTTTCAAAAGCTTTCTCGAGATTCCTGATGCCCTCTTCACACCCAGATGCCATGGATTCTGGTGTTACTCGCCCTTTGCCATCCTCTCTCTCTCTTTTCCTGTCCCCTGACAGTGCCAAGTGGCTGGCATGTTCTCTCTGTATTTGTAAGTGTATATATACATGTATGTAACCTACCTATCCAACCATCAGAAACCTGCTATCTATCTATCTATCTGTCTGTCTGTCTGTCTGTCTATCTATCTATCTATTTTAGGTCTAGATTCCATAGATGAGCAAAAGAACCCCATGTAATATTTGAGTTTTTGAGCTAAGCTGATCTCACTCCACATGTCAATCTCCAGTTCATCCATTTTCCTGCAAATTTCTTTATGGCTGGAAAAAAATCACCATTTTCCTTTAAGAATTTTAAAATTGTTGTTATGAAGGTGATGTGCGGAGGTGACCAGGGACATAATACTGAGTACATCATCCCTCCCCTCACTCTCTCCCAATTTTTCCCGCCGACCCCCACCCACAAGTTGTACAGTTCATTGTCCACACAGTGTCCAGTGAGGACCACCGCTGCATGTGTCCCCCTTTGTCCCTCCACTTCCATGCCCCCCTCTCCCTCCCAAAGGCTTCAGTGCCTCCATACTTGTTTCAGCTCCAGTTCTGCTCTGAATTCTGAACCCGCCATCTCTGTCCACAAGTCCCTGAATGTATCTTCCTGTCTCCTCCCTGCAGTTTGCAGCTGCTTCCGTGTAGGATGTAGGGGTGGGGGCGGTTACTAAGGTGACCGCGGGGGCTGTCCTGGTCACAGGAGGCACACTCAGAGCGGCCTGGGGTCAGAGCAAGGCTCAGAGCTTAGGCCTCAGCACTCAGGCTCAGGCTCAGGGTTCAAACTCATCCTCAGAGATTTGGGCTCAGACTCAGGACTCAGGGATCAGGCTCAGGCTCAGAACTCAGAGCTCAGGTTCATGGATCAGGTTTCCACTCAGGCTCTAGGACTTAGAGTTCAGAGCTTAGGCTCAAGGCACAGGGCTGTGGCTCAGGCTTTGGCCCAAACTCAGGGCTCAGATTTCAGACTTAGGCTCAGGGCTCAGCACTCAGCACTCAGTACTCAGTGCTCAGCCTCAGGGATCCATACTCTGGCTCAGGTCTCATGGCTTAAGGCTCAGGCTCAAGCTCTGGCTCAAACTCAGGGCTCATGGCTAAGTAGTCAGTCTTAGGGCTCACGGCTCAGGCTCATGTCTCAGGGCTCAGTTTCAGCACTGAGGCTCAGGCTTATATGCTCAAATGTCAGGCTCAGGCTCTACTTTCAGGGCTCAGCACTCAGCCCCAGGTATCCTCACTGTGGCTCAGGCTCAGGGCTTGGGATTCAGGCTCAGGCTCAGGACCCAGGTCTCAAGCTCAGAACCCAGAATCATGCCTAATGTTCAAGACTCAAGCTCATGGCATAGGCTCAGGTGCTGGCTCAGGGCTCAGAGTTAAGCTTAGCACTCAAGGCTCAGACTTCAAGGCTCAGGGCTCAGGATTTAGGCTCAGGATTCAGAGCTCAGTTTCAGGGATCAGGGCTTTTAGAGCTTTGGCTACTGAACTTTGGAGGAGACTATCATGATGATTACCTCTGGGAAGTGTGTGTGTGTGTGTGTGTATGCATATTTTTGAGTATGAGGGAGAAAGAGAGAGAGAGAGAGAGAGGTGCCGTGTATGGTGCTTTCTCATTCTGAGTCAGTACCTGGACAGTCAAAGGTCTTACCTCACATCCCGTGTGGGTGGAGGTTGGAGGGTTTGGACACGTGTCAGCCAGGCCCCTGAAGATGTAAGCACAGCTCTGAATGCTCCATCCCATGGCCCAGACCAGAGCATGGCAGGCTAGAACTTCCTATAGTCAGCTCCCCCTCCACCAGGCAGCCACAGCCCGCGGGGCCTCGGGTCATCATCGAGCTGCAGATGGCATCTTGTTTGGCTCACTGAACCCTCCCGAGAGTTCCTTCCCCCAGGTGCCCAATGTGGTGCTACCCAGGATGGTGTGGCTGACACTTTGCCCTGCTCAGTTCTGAGGGCCAGGCACAGAGAACTGGCTGGGCAGTGCCAGTCTGTGCCATCAAACAGCTTTGACCTGATAAACTGGAGGGCAAAGGACCCCACCATCACCTGTACAAACAGGCGAGTCGGCTGGCCAGTTGGTGGCTATTCTGTGTTCCGCTCTGTGCCCTTCAGGGCACCGCCTGGGACTTCCTGACATCTGGGTTAAAGGTATCCCCTCCCATCCTGGCAGCTGTCCCTTTCAGCAGGGACAGGAGCACCCCAGCTCTTCCCATGGGACACCGCCTGGGAGAGGCCAGAGAGTTGGCTGCCCATGCTGCTAGGGAGGCAGGCACGCAGCGGGGATAATGTGGGGACACCGTTGAACTCTGGGGTCCTCCCTCGGGAAGGTCCCTGCTAGAGTCAGGACTTGGTATGTCGTGAGCTGTAGGGGCCATTGCGACTTCTACCCTTTTTTCTGGTGGTGGTGAGTGAGCACCAGCTCCTCCCAGCTTTGTGTTCACGGAAAGCTCACGGTGGCTAGGAAGTGCTGGGGGGTGGGGGTGGGGACAGCATTTACACCGAGGACATGAGCACAGCACATGGCTGCCCGAAGCTGGAAGGAATCAGCTCAGAACGAGGCTGAGTGGGCAGAGCTCGAAGGGCAGGGCTGGAGGGGGTCAGCAAAAAGACAGGATGGCCTCCTCCTCTGGGGCTGCGCATCTCCGGGATGCCCGAATGTGGGTGACAGACTCGTTACAGACTCGGTGTCTTGGCCTGAGCAGCAGCAAAATGCCAGACGTCTCCCTTCTTTCTTCTACCACTCAGCAGGCAGTCATCCTGAGAGGGAGAGAGAGGCATGAATACACGTGGCAGGTCTCCTGTGGACCTGCCTCGTCCGACTCTGTGAGCTGGGCCTTGGAATGCAAGGATGAGTCATGCCTTCACTTATTTAAAATGTAAAATAATGACCCGGACAAGCCAGACAGACGATTTGTAGGCCTCAGGAACCACAGAGGAACTCTACCATATAAAGCCTGCCACCTAAGAACAACCATGCTTAGCATTTTCAAGCTCTTATCCAGGACAGATGTCACACAAGAGGATGGTTGTCCCTGCCTGGACAATTTTAGCTATCTGCCAGAGCATCTGATATGTCAGTGGCGATTGCTCCATGGTCTGACTTGATGGCCGCAGAGCCTGCAGCCTGTGGGCTGTGTGTGCAGTGCTGCATGCATGTCTGCGACTGCATGCAACAGACATGTGTCCAGACCCTGCTAGCCTGAGCTGGACTCTGGTGGACTCTGGGGAGTGAGGCCGTTCCAGGGGCTGGGCCCACTCACCCTTGTGCTGTCCCAGGAGGTCCACTAGCCGCCATGAGCCCTGTGAGGCTCCACATCCAGTCTGTGCTCTGAGCTTAGGCACCCTGGACTTCTGGTAATGGGGTGGAGGGAGTGGTGTGTGTGTATGTGTGCATGTGTGTGTGTGTGTGCAGGTGGTAGAGGGGTGAGTGTGTGGGCATGTATGTATGTGTGTGGGGGTGGTAGAGGGGTGTGTGTGTGTGTGCGTGTGCAGGTGTGTGTGTGCACTTGTGGGCGGTAGAGGGATGTGTAAAGGGCAGTTGGTTGCACACCCATATCCACAGCAGGGAAGGTGACTTGTGAAACTCTAGCACTTTTAGCTTTTCCCAGGACCCAGGCAGCTCAAGCGCTCAGGACAGCCTGAAGGTCACAGGACAGAGAGGCACAGAGCTGGTTAGAGTGTCTGAGGGTCTACGAGGGCCAGCAGTGTCCCTCTCTCAGTGGACTGCTCTGAGCCTCCTGGGCCCCTCTGCACACAGGAAGGGCCTCCCTGTGCCCAGCGCCTCCGTCCCCCACTCCACTCCACACCAGGCCCACGGGCTCCATTGCTTCTCTAGCATCAGGGCTGAAGTCCACAGGGCTTCTCCAGGCCTCTGTGGCCCAGGCACAACGGCCAACACGGGGCATTCTACACCGACTCACCCCAGCTTGCCTCGTTCCCCTGAGAGTCTGACCCCTCTGACCTTCCACGTTTGTCCACAACTGGAAGCCAGTTCCTAAAGGCAGAACTATGACCACAGCTGGGAGGCTGCTCCAAGTATCCTGCCTGGCTTATACCTCATGTATGTGTGAGTGAGCTGTCAGGACGAAGCAGCGTGGAGGAGCCCTGTACCTGGACTCCTGGGGCAGGGGGGACTGCAGTGACACCGCCGTAGCAGAAAGGGTCGGAAGCAAGGGCGGGTAGGGCAATGCAGCGGATGCTTGCCCCGCTCCTGTAGACACCTTCCTCAGCAGCCTTCACTGTCTCTTTCCCCAGCCCTGAACAGGTCCAGGGAGTTTGCATCCAGACCTGGGAGCTGCCCAGCCTCAGAGCCAGAGCTGCCCACCCCACGGCGGTGCAGCTGGGACACAGACTGCCCTGGACTCCAGAAATGCTGCCCCTGGCCAGCGGGCCACCGCTGCACAGCCCCTGTGCCCCGAGGTAGGGCTGCATGGAGGAGGGTCTCTGGGAGCCTGGGCCTGGGGGAGGGGCAGCACCCCCAGTCACTGGGGAGCCTGCAGCGTGGTGCAGAACAGGGCTTGTTCTTCTCAGATCTGGCCCCAAGATCCTCCGGAGACTAAGGCTTATTCAGGGCCTGGAGCAGGAAATGCTCTTGGCAGGCAGACCGACCCTTGCAGGTCTACAAGGAGCTCTAGGAGCTGCACGTGGGCTCGTCTGAGCTCTCTCCTGAGGGATGTGTAGCTGACTGCCCCCAAGACATGCCAGAGCCTAGTTGGGTGCCAGTGGCTCACGCCTGTAATCCCAGCTATTCAGGAGGCTGAGATCTGAGGATCACAGTTCAAAGCCAGCCCAGCAGGAAAATCCATGAGACTTTTTATCTCCAATGAGCCACCAGAAAACCGGAGGTGGCGCTGTGGCTTAAGTGGTAGAGTGCAAGCTGAGGGATAGTGCCCAGGCCCAGAGTTCAAGCCCCATGACTGACAGACAAAAAACAAAAAAGGGTATCTCAGAGCCTGACTACCTTCTTTCAGAGCCCCATGGGTGAACACCAGACACCTGCCATGCATGTCTGCTGGGCTGCAAAGCTCCATCTGATCAGATGCTTTTCTGGAAGCAGAGATGAAGCAGTATTCAGGGCTAGGGAAATACATAAAGCCAACATTCATATACATATCACATTCAATACAGCATCATACTCGCATGGAGTTATATAGTCATAAAGTTATCAACAGCATCAAGTATTTTAATATTGCAATACCAAGTATTAACTATAGTGTTAATATAGTACATATTAACAATATTCTATTATGCAACATAAACAATTACATATTAAACTAGTTGATACTAATAGTATAAATAAATATAGTACATAATAGGTTTTTAAAAAACTTTGGTGTGTGTATGTGCCACTATAGAGCTTAACTCAAGACACTCTCGGCTCACTTTTTCTCTCAAGGCCGACATTCTACCACATGAGCCACACCTCCACTTCCACTTTTGCTGGCTAATTGGAGATTAGAGAATGCCAGGGACTTTCCTGCTTGGGCTTGTTTTGAACCACCATCTTTAGATCTCAGCCTCCCAAATAGCTAGGATTATAGGCGTGAGCCACCGGTGCCTGCCTGGCTTAACAGTTTTATGTCTCAATGTAACATTGCACCCTAATGTGGGTTGAAGGTGCACCTGCACCTTAAGTGCATCTCTCTGGGGGATGGCCTCTGCACTGGCTCTGAGGCCTTTGGCTGGTCTCTGTGGTCATCAGGAAGGAGAGAAGGAAGAAGATTTCAGGAAGCTACCCAGGGCCTGTGTTTCATGGGCGGAGGTGCACGCAGATGTGAGGCCTCCTGCCTTCCCGGCCTGCTGTCCTGTGGCTCCTGGAGGCCCTGTTCTGTCCCGACGGTAACTTACCAGCATCCATCCTCCAGGCTCCAGTGCTGCTGCCAAGAGGAGCCTGGTGAGCTGGTACAACATCACAGTGCTGGTGAAAATGGACTTCGAGGACCTGCAGCAAGTGGACCCTGGGTTCCGGAACCACACACGCCTCCTCTACTCCTTAGTGAGATGTAGCCTGTGGTCTCCGGACAGGTTGTGAGGGGCTGAGGGTGGGGACAGGAAGTGGAGGCATTCATGAGTCGTCCCTAAATGACCAGACCGGAGCCACGCTTGAATTACTCATTGCAAGATCACTCTGCAACACGTAGTCAGACGCACAGGACTCTAGCATGTCTCTGACCATGTGCACGTGTTTGCTCAAGTGTCCCTGGCGTGGCATGAGGCAGGTGACCCTGGATCATCTTGGATGATCTGTTGCTTAGACAAGAGGGAAGACCAGCGGGGCCGGCTCTGCCGGCCGCTTCTCATCCCCAATCCCTGAGATCCTGCTTCCCACTTTAGGGAGCCTGCACCGTGGGTAGCACAGCACCAGGACTGCAGCCCAGATCTCTGCCTCTGTCCACTCCCAGAGCATGTAGGAAGCCCAGGCCGGGAGCATGCCCCAGCTGCTACGGCCCATTGTATTTCTAGACACTGCCTCTGTCCCCTGGGAGCAGAGCCACCTTGGTGGAGGCCCCAGGCTCTTGGACAGTCATAGCCATTTAAACTGAACATCTTCAAACACCAAAATCCCCTCAGTCTTTAAAGAGGGAGAGAGAGAGACAGAGACAGACAGAGAGACACAGAGAAACACACAGAGAGACAAAGAGAGAGGGAGGGCACATTGTTTCTTTCTCTGGCCTCAGATCCCTGTGCGTCTACAGGGGGTGCCCTTCCACCATCTGATGCCCTGACCCTGCCTTCACAGGTCACCAGTGCCTTGCAGCCCCTGAACCCTGCTGTCCACTATTTGCACTCGGCTGGCGGGGACACGTTCACCACGGTGTCGTGGCTGCTGCTGGGCCTGACCCGGCTGTTGCCTGTGGCCAATGTTTCTGCCATGTTGGACGACATGGTGAAGCGGGTCTATGAAGTGATCAACATCCAGGTGCAAGGTGGGTGCGGGCCGAGGACCGGAGGCCAGGTGGACATGGGCTGGGCCCAGCTGCGTGCGCATGGTGCTTCCGTGTGTTCAAACCGTCAGGACTGGGAGAGAGCCATCCTGTCTTGAGCTCAAGCACCAAGGTTGAGGGCTTGTTTTACTCCATCTTGTTCTTTCCTTTCACACACTTCCATCCTCCTCGTAGGCTTCTCCTGCTATATCGCTGTCACTGCCCTGGGAACCCAGAGCACACAAGCATAATGCCCCACAGCCCAGTCCTCCGGGCTCCTAAGTTTCCCTCTGCTTCCTTCCACACTTGCAAAGGCATCTTTGCACCTGTGAGGCTGGTCTTTCACGATTGTGCACAGTTGAACTTGAGCATGCTAAAGTGCACGAATATGGCCTTGTTTCTGGAAGAAATAAGTAGTTTGGTATTTTGGATCTATGTCAGGATTTGGCACGCTTTAGTTTTGAAAGGGGCAACATAGTCAATCTTTGACTGTGTGGGCCACACGGTCTTTGTGTCAGCTGCTTGGCGCTGCAGTGGTAGCACGGGGCAGCCACAGTGGCATGAAAACAAATGTCTAGGGCCTATGAAGCCAGAGGCAGCAGCGCCTGCCGTCAGGGACAGAGCTTTGTCCATGCTGCTGCTGCAGGTCGTGTGTGGTAATGCCCAGACCTGGAGCTCAGGAAATGCTCCAGGGACTGCACACCCCCCCAGCCCCCCGCAGCCCCCACATGATGCTATCCGAAACAAAGCTGGGTTGTGCAAGTGCCGACACATGGGGCATCCGTCACTGGGGCACCCTGGGGGGTGCTAAGCAGGGTTGTTACTAGAGGTGGCCTGATTGGGTGATTCCGGGAGACCTAAAGACCTGATTGGGTGATTCCGGGAGGCCTAAAGACCTGATTGGGTGATTCCGGGAGACCTAAAGACCTGATTGGGTGATTCAGGGAGGCCTAAAGACCTGATTGGGTGATTCCGGGAGGCCTAAAGACCTGATTGGGTGATTCCGGGAGACCTAAAGACCTGATTGGGTGATTCAGGGAGGCCTAAAGACCTGATTGGGTGATTCCGGGAGACCTAAAGACCTGATTGGGTGATTCAGGGAGGCCTAAGAGCTGATTGGATGCTGTCATTGCATGGCAATTCTACTATTGCGTGTCTCACTAAATCTCACCCATAGGCAGTGGGAAAGCTGGAATTGAAGAACTATCCGTCCTGGCTAAGAGAAGGGGGCTGATTGTTGGTGGATGACACACGGGCTTGTTCTTGTGACGTCTGGCTTTGTCCTGCCCCATCTTGGGCACAGAGAGGCCTTGTCCAAGGCCAGAGCATCTAGGAGATGGTCTCTGTGGGACTGGAGGATAGCGGGCGGTTGCTGCTCCGGCTCCTCCCTTATCATTCATTGACTTATGTTCAGGCCAGTCATCTCCTGATCACTCCTATCCGGGCCAGCCCCAGTGCTTCAGGCCCCGCCCTGAATGTGGCCGGCCCACTGTGCATGCAGCCCTGTGGTTGAGGGATTCCTGCTTCTCTCTCCCCAGATGTGAATGAATGTTTGTACGATGAACTCCACACCTGCTCTGAAGCTGAGCTGTGTCAAAACATGGAGGGCTCCCACCTGTGTGTCCGTGCTCAGGAGTCATCAACCTCGTCTCCGCAGAGGCCGAACCACACGGACAGCGGTAATGCTGCAGCTCCCTACATGCTCCAGGATGATGGGGGCGGGGGGGGTGTGTTTGTGTGGGGTGAAGACTTTTCAGGCTGCCTAGCCCATGGACCATTTCTTCATTTTTCCCCACGTGACTGTCTTTTCACTGTAACTATTACAGAGCATGTCTGAGAGACCGTGAACAACACAGCCATACCATTATCTCTCCCGTAACCAAAGCAAGGACTCCTTAATATGATCAAGGGTCCAATCTGTTCAAATGTCAAGTGTCTCATCATTGGCATAATGCTTAAAGTTATTTGTTGTTGCTGCTTTGGCAGCACTGGGGCTTAAACTCTAAGCCTCATGGTTACTAGGTAGGCTCTCTACAATTTGAAACACATCACCAGCCCTCTTCTCATTCTTTTAGTTATTTTTCCAATATTTTGGACCAGGGCCATCCTCAGATCTGGACCCTCTTACCTAGACCTCCGCATAAGTAAGGATTACCAACACACTCCACTAAGCCTGGCTTGTTGGTCGAGATAGGATGTCATTAACTTTTTCCCCTAGCCCAGACTCAAGTCATAGTTCTTACCATCTTTACCTCTGGAGTAGCTGGGATTACAGGTGTGAGCCACCACACTCAGGCTCTGAAGTTCTTTGGAATTTAAATTTGAACTAGGACCACCAGTTAGCTATGACAGCGCTCCGATTATTTCCTTTGCATTCTGGAGCTCTCTCTCTCTTGTCCTTTGTAACTTGCTGGGAGCCTCACCCCCTGGCTGGGTAAGCTCCTGGAGGTCTGGATTCCCTGTAGTGGGTCATCACTTCTGGAGTGGAGAGCTTTTCTTTTGTTGTGCCTGATGAAGTGGGTGGAGACTTATGGAAAGTTTTCAGATGCATAAAAACATCGAGAGCAGAGTGAGCACAGTCATGTTCGATACACAGGGTCCTCTGTGCAGGGGTCACCAGCTCCCCTCCATGGATTTGCACTTTGCTTCTCCCTGGGGACTTGGGGATTCATTCCTGGGACTCTCAGCCCCATTGTCTTCAGGGTCAGCTCCCAGCATCCCCAGGAGCCACGCTGCCATGCTCCTGTGGTCCCAATGGTGCCAGGTGGCACTGCCTTTAGCAGCCACCCTTCCTCATCACCTTCTCCCTTTCTAATCCCTCACGTCCAGGTTGGGATTGGTCCACGCTGGGATTGGTCCAGGCTGAGATTGAAATCCATCTCTCAGGTGCACTCTGGGGCTGAGTGGGGAGCAGATCAGAGATTTAGGGCCGAGACACTGCCTTCCCTGTCTTCCTCCACACTAACAAAAGGATACCCACTGAGTGCCTGGCCCTAATCTTCACTTTTCCTGAAGGCCTTAGTCCTGTCTCTTAGCCCAGTTGTGGGGAGATGATGGAGGTAGGGTTCAGGATCAGCACCCTGGGCTGGACAACATGGGCACTGTTAAGTCCCTGCTGGCTGCCTCAGCCATGTGGTGACCTTGAGACTGAGTCCTAGGTTAGGGCACAGAGATGCAGGGCTGGAGTTGCAGGGCTGGAGTTGCAGGGCTGGGGTTGCAGGGCTGGAGTTGCTGGGCTGGGGTTGCTGGGCTGGAGTTGCAGGGCTGGAGTTGCAGGGCTGGGGTTGCAGGGCTGGAGTTGCAGGGCTGGAGTTGCAGGGCTGGGGTTGCAGGGCTGGAGTTGCAGGGCTGGGGTTGCAGGGCTGGAGTTGCTGGGCTGGGGTTGCTGGGCTGGAGTTGCAGGGCTGGGGTTGCAGGGCTGGAGTTGCTGGGCTGGGGTTGCAGGGCTGGAGTTGCTGGGCTGGAGTTGCAGGGCTGGAGTTGCAGGGCTGGAGTTGCTGGGCTGGAGTTGCAGGGCTGGAGTTGCTGGGCTGGAGTTGCTGGGCTGGAGTTGCAGGGCTGGAGTTGCAGGGCTGGAGTTGCAGGGCTGGGGTTGCAGGGCTGGGGTTGCAGGGCTGGAGTTGCAGGGCTGGAGTTGCTGGGCTGGGGTTGCAGGGCTGGGGTTGCAGGGCTGGAGTTGCAGGGCTGGAGTTGCTGGGCTGGGGTTGCAGGGCTGGAGTTGCAGGGCTGGAGTTGCAGGGCTGGAGTTGCAGGGCTGGAGTTGCAGGGCTGGGTGCCATTCTCTGTGGGAGACCTACTCTGGCCCATTTGAGGTCTGCTGCTATATCATGTAGCAGCCGTTCGACCTCTGTTCCTCTCGGTCTGAGGCAGGTGGAAGGGACAGGCACAGCAGGGCATCACGGGTCTGGGAGCAGGCCAGGGTGCTGGGCAGGTGCATGAACTAGCCTCACCAGAGACCTCCACAGGCAGCCATGGTGCAGTGTACCTGGGTGTAAGCTGACAGGGGCTTGGAAGACTCACCAAGCTGACAGTTTCCCTGACAACCAACAAGCAGTGTGCGCTACCCCTCCCCCACGGGTTGCTGTATTATGCGGATACAGGACTGATGGATCCGTGTCTCCTCTCCAGTACAGGCTGGGTGGCAGACCCGGCTTCCTACGTTTAGCCAGGGAGCCGTCCTCTGATTTGTCATGGAAGGACGTGGAGGCAGCAGTGAAGGACATCCAGTCCCCTGCTCAGCTTGGCCCAGGAAGCCGCCGCCGCGTGCTTCCCTGGCTCTCCATTAGTCCAGGCTGTGTTTTGCCTGGTTCAGGTCCAGCTGTAGATGTAATTTGGATCCTGTTGTTTTTCCTCTGGCCTTTGTGCCTGTCACACGAGGCTTCCGAGAAGCACCCAGGTCCTCCTAAGGACGATTCTCAGTGGCTCAAATACAAACGTCTTCCACAGCAATGACGTAATGCCCTCAGTGAGTTCCTCCATGCAGCTGTGTAGGTGGCTTCCAACATCCTGTTAGGAAAACGAGAGTTTTTGCTTTGTGCCACGCTTCTGGAGATGCACACCAGGACTGTGGACAGACAGCAGAGACGCACATCAGGATGTGGACAGACGGCCGACACAGGCAGGGCACCATGCAGCCCCAATGCACTTCTAATGGCTTGGCCCAGTAGGCAGTTTCCAGATCTGAAATGCAAAGCAAATTCCAATTGCATTATTGCTAAGGGAACTTGCATGTGTTTTAAATTTAGAAACTAATATAAATGAGCAATCTGTTGGACGACTTAGAGGTACAAGTCCTTGGAAAATACTGCACAGATTTCAGATCTTTTTCTTGAGAAATTAGTCACCCAATTAATGACACACAGGGTGGCTAGATTCTTGCACAATTCCATATCCCTAAAAAATACTATTCCAGGAAGGTGGCCAGCGTTTAGAAAGACTGGATCTCTCCCTCATGATCTCCATTTACAGCCGGAACCCACCAGCTTTTCTGTTCACAAGGGGAAGTTTCTTGACCTTATGGACTGGTAGGGCCATGGTGCCAGCTGGGGTGACAGGTGCCATACCCCGCTGTGGGTCAACTAAGACAGGAACTGTGGACCTGGTATCTTTTTTCTTTTTCTTTTTTTTTGTATGCCAATCCTGAGGCTTGAACTCTGGGCCGGGGCCCGGTCCCTAAGCTATTTTGCTTAAGGCTAGTGCTCGACCACTTGGTCCACTTCCTGCTTTTGAAAGTAGTGTATTAGAGATAAGAATTGAATGGACTTTTCCTGCCAGTCTGGCTTCGAACCACAATTCTTAGATCTCAGCCTCCCCAGTAGCCAGAGTTACAGGCGTGAGTCACCAAGGCTTTTGATTGATAGACTGAGGCCACTGAATGCAGAGTTGAAGATCAGAAAACAAGCTACCTGAAGGCTAGATGCTGTAATTGATTAGCCATGTCTGCCTGGACATAGGCATGGGCAGAGGAGCTCAGGTGTCTGTTCGTGCTCTCTAGCTGAGGGCTGTGTAGCTGGGAGAAGCAAGGGGACCTAGTTCTGGGGAGGACAGCTATTCATTACCTAATGAACAGCCAGCTACCCCATTTCCTGCTATCCCATGTCGTGTCTCACATTGCTTTCCAGCAAGCTAATTAGAGCAATTAGCCCGGGTCCCCGGTCTCCCACTGAGCATAAGCATGGAGAACTTACTCATCTCCCAAAGCCTCCATGGATTATTTGAGGCCTGGAATGCTCACCACTCTGAGCCTTAGTGTGCAGCATCCCTGGGCTCTTAAGGTGTCAGCCTGCCCTTGATCTCTGGACTTCCAGGAGCCTGCAGACAAGGGTGCATTTCACCCCTTTGAGAGCCCTGTGCTCCGTTGGTGTTGGTCCCCAGGGATGCAGGAAGTCCCCGTGCATGCCTGTGTGGAGTCTGGTGGGCCTGGCATGTGTGGCATCTGCCCGTGGCTGTCTCTTGCAGGGGATGTGGTGAACTCCACCGGAAGTGGGCTGTCGGCAGTGGCAGGGGTCACTGTCCCAGCTCTAGACAGTGGAACAGCGGTGCCCAGCCCAGAGAGCCTCACCTTGTCCCCCAGCCCCTGGACCCCGCAGGGTACCCCAGCAACAAGCCAGGCCCAGACGCCAGGGCCCCCGTCCAGGAGAGGTGCTGGTGACCTGGGAAGTCATGACAGGAACAGCACAGGGCCGGGTGCAGAAGAAGAGGCACCCAGCACGGCTCCAAGCTGGGAGACAGGCCCTGGGAGCACCAGAGGGGGGCTCAGCACCGCTGCCGCCGAGGCTCCAGCGCCACCCCGTGGCTCCCCCCACGGGACCAAGCCCAGCACCCCGGAGTCCCCAGGACAGCTCCTGGGAAACACCACCACGGAGCCGCCCTCCCCTCCCACTACCAAGGATGCCTCAGGCCATGTTGTGTGGCACACCGGCCTCCCTCCTCGGGAGACTCCCGTGAACGCCGCAACCCTGCAGACCAAGGAGCCTGAGCCTGCCCCCGGCCCGAGCCTGCCCTCGGCCCCCACCCCCGTGCCCCTGCAGCACCCTGCCTGTGGTGAGTCATGCTGGGAATGACCCCCCCGACCCCCCACTGCTGAGAGCCACTGGGAACCCCGGGGGCCCTGCACAGAGCGGTGACCTCAGGGGTGTGGCTCTCGTCACGGAGGGGCTTGGGGGCAGCTGCAGAGCTGTGTGGTCCTTGGTGGCTTCAGACATAGCCCCTCACCGCCTGGCCGCTTCCTGGGACCCCTGTGTGTCGCAGCTGTAGCATGAGCCTCATGGGGAAGGAGCCTAGGGGGCGTGCGTGTGCCATGGGGCATTCGAGCCACCCTATGGAGACTGGGGACCCCAGCCGTCCTGCAGTACAGTGTCCCCCTCCCACCCCAGCGCTCTTCACCACAGGCTGCTCCGTACCCCAGTTCTCTGCTCCCAGCTGTCTAATTCCACCTGTCCTGCACCGCAGCTGTCTGCACCCCGAGTCGCTTTGCCACCCCAGCTGTCTACCGCCCTGCCCAGCCCCCCTGCTCAGCAGCTCCCTGCCCTCCAGCCATCTGCACCCCGTGACCACGCCGCTCCCAGGGACCCACACTGGGGCCAGAGGCTCAGCCAGCCCAAGCCCTGGGGACACCCCAGGGGACGAGTCACTGCTCTGTCCAGGAACCGTCTGGGACTCCGGCGGTCACCCAGAGGCCTCTCTGGTGCCTCCCAGTGGGCTTGCAGCACTGGGTTTCAAAGATGGGACTGCAGGGGTACGCTTCCGTGGCTTTTCTTGTGCCACTGGACAGTCTGGGGTCCAACCGTCCAGGCACAGAGGCCAGGACTGTCCCACAAGGAGCCAGAGCCTCCGTATTGGAGTGGCTCTCAAGTCAGCAGCGCCACGGAGGTGGCTTCCTGGGATCGAGAATGAGTTTACATCACGGGCAGACCCAAACACAACGGGGAAGTGTTTCTTGTCATCCAAGCAACGGAGTCCTGGGGTACTGTCCCGGGAAGCCAGAGTGGAGGTCCTGGTGTGGCCACCGTCACAGAGGCACCCGGCTGGTGTCCCCACAGCCTCCCCTGCCCCACGTGGGGTATTTGGTTTGAGGAAGTGGCAGGGTTCTCTTCCTTCTGCCCAGAGCAGCTGCACTGGTGTTAATTGCAGCCTTTCGGCTCCGTTCCCCAGGTCCCGGCTCCGTCACAAGGGTCACGGTTTCCAACGTGAGCAGCACTGGCTTCCACCTGCAGTGGGCAGCAGATCCAGCCCCGCTCCCCACCTTCCACCTCAGCCTGGTCCCTGCTCGGGGCCCCGCGGTGAGTGTGGACACGCAGAACACCAGTGTGGCGCTGTCGGGGCTGGAGCCTGGGGTCCTGCACCTGGTCCAGATCACAGCCAGGGCCTGTGGGAAGGAAGGCACCAGAACAGACCTGAAAGTGAGGACAGGTGAGAGGCTTCTGGAACATGCCCTATCTTGTTCTTGAAAGGGAAGGAACAGGGGACCTGTGGCTCACTGACTTTCCACCCTTGGTGTGGAAACTTTTGCACCCAACCAGCAGGACTTGTGGGTTCCAGGAATAGAGAGGGGCTGACACTGAGCAGGGCTGGAGCACACTCACCTGAGTCCCGGTACACACCACAAAAACGTCAGATAAGCTGCATCCTCTCCCTCCGACCTTCCTTGCTCTCAGGAAGTCGAGTAAGGCGTTGGATGCCTGCGGGGGTCTAACTGCAGAGGTGGGGCCAGGCCTTCGGGGGGTGGTGGTTGAATTAAGGGAGGACTGAAGCCTGGTAGAGACAGTCCTTATCAATACTCACACAGAGTTTGATTTTACAAAGAAAAAGAAAAAAAGACAAACCTTTCCTTGGCAGGTGTTGGTGGCTCTTGCCTGTAATCCTAGCTACTCAAGGGGCTGAGATCTGAGGATAGAGATCTGAAGCCAGCGCAGGGAAGAAAAGTTCATCAGACGCTTTATTTCCAAGTAACCAGCACAAAACTGGAAATAGAGCTGTGACCCAAGTGATCGAGAGCCCGCCCTGAGCGAAAAAGCTCAAGGACAGCACCCAGACCCTGAGTTCAGGTGCCAGTCCTGGCACAAAAACAAACGAGCCAGCTGACGAATCCCTTCTGACTGCCCTGTCTCTGCCACCTGTGTATCCAGCGCTAGTCCTCGCTTCTTGGGGAGGGGCCCAAATGCTGGTAATGCTGGGGGACATAGTCCTATGGGGGGTGCTTACACGGGCCCGCCAGAGATGGCAAGAACAGCTTAGAACTCCTGTGTATAGAGTGAACTTCAAAGAACTAGCTGGCAGTGACCTGGAGAATTAGAGAACAAGACAGCATGCGATGATGCTAACTGTGTGAGCTCACCACGGTCCGGTGAAGAGGGAGACGGGTGAGGCAGTCTGAGGGAGGTCTGGTGGGTGGCTTCCCCGTCCCAGCCAAAGCAGGGCTTCCCTGGCGCGAAGGATGCACTGTGCAGGGCACCCGTCCTGTGCGCAGGCGCGGGCCCGCGGCCGCTCTCACTTGTGCACCCCTTCTGCCTCCGATGGTTCCCCTGCCACCCTGCCCAGCTCTCAGACGCGATGATAGCAGCGATCCCCCTAGGACAGGGAGTTTGGGGTTTCTGCAGGAAGCAGTAGCAGGGGGGCTGTGGGGTTTATTTAAGGCTTTGTGAGAAGCTCTTGAGAGATGAACGCGAAATCCCTAAGAGGCAAACACTGCCTGTCTCCTTCACTGGCCAGAGGCTTCTGGCACAAGGCAGGGTTCTCTCTCTCTCTCTCTCTCTCTCTCTCTCTCTCTCTCTCTCTCTCTCTCTCGTATGCACACACACACATGCGCGCGCACACACACACATGCGCGCGCGCACACACACACACACACACACACACAGGGAGGACTGAATGAGGACAGAGCCGGTTGCTTGGGTGGTTCCTGAGCTGTGTTCTCATCCCATGAAGTCCTAGAAGCCCTGCAGAAGACAAGATGCAGAAGAAATGGCCTTGCACACTCAGAGGCAGGGCTGTGGGGGCTGATGAACACGCCCTTGCGTCCTGTCCTGGCCCAGGCTCAGAGCAGAGGTCTGGCAGCGTCCTGGGCTGTCAGGCGCAGCTCACTCACCTGTCAATTATTTTATACATGTCCCTTCTCCTTCAAAGCTGTCTGGCTTGCGAGTCTCTCGCCTGAACACCTGTGCCCAGGGAATGCCCCCGGAGCGGGGACAGGGAAAGAACACAGTGCCGAGATGGTTCTGGAGCCCCCAGAAGCGTTTCCCGCTGTGTTCAGTCCTGTCACACGTCCTCGGAGCCTGGTGCACGCGTCTATGGACAGCAGTCCTCGATCCCTCTTTCTAGAGGGCAGGTCAGCCTCCTCCTGCCGCTCTGTCTCCAGCATGGAGGTCATCAGATGGAAAGGTAGCCCGTGTGGGTGGGGGCCTGACACATGGCGTGTTCTCCACCCTGCAGCGGCCCAGAAACTCCGTGGCAAAGTCAGGATAGCAAACGTCAGGTACTCTGAGGCCCTCGGCAACGCCAGCAGCCAGGAGCACCGGGACTTCGTGGGGCGCTTCCTCAGCACGGTGAGTGGGGCCCTCGGTCCTCGGCTCCTGTGTGGACCTAGAGGCCGGAGGGAAGCTGGAATCCTTGATGCATCCGACCAAGAATTAGACTTGCAGGTCCTGTGGCCACCCTGTGGCGGCTGAGAGTGAGGTCCAACAGGACAGGACAGCACAGATATACCTGAGATGGCAGACTCACCTTTCCCCTGTATGCCAACACGTCACAGAGAGAGCCAGCCAAGGGGGGACATGCAGACACACAAAACACTTAGAGAATTAACCACCCAAAGGACACACAGTGCATCAACAAGTAGGCAATGAACCAAACCGCTCAAAAGCAGAAATACAAATCCTTAGCTATAAAGAAGTATAAATCAAAACAACATTGAAATTCCATCTCGCTGCCATCAGAATGGTTGTCATTAAAAAAAGAAATGACAGATGGCCAGCAAGCATGCAGAGGGAGGACGCCCTCCCCCCTCCCCACACTGTGGTGGAAATGTAAATTAGCGTAGCCACTATGGAAGTCAGTAGGGAGGCTCATCAAGAACCTGAAAATAGAGCTATCATAGGACCCTGCCGCGCTCCTTCCAGGCATATATCCAAAGGAATGTAAGCCAACACACAGCAAAGATCCTGCTACATATAACAGTGTTCTTCACAACAGCCAAACCAGGGAATCAGCTTAGGTGCCCATCTGCTTAATGTGCACACAGTGAAATTTTATTCTGTCACAGGGAATGACACGTGCTGCTAGTGAGGTCCTGTGTCTTTGTGGGCATTCTGACGCTCATGGGCTGGAATGGAATAATGTAGCATAGGATGTATCCGAAGGGCGGGATGAAAGCAAGTCTTCTCAGAGGCTGGGGCTACCTGTGCTGACAGGGATGTGGGAGAGGCTCACAGCAGAAGCAGCCCGGGGCCAGGCACAGAGGGGGGATGGAAAGGAAATGTTCTGCACTGCAGGAGCAAAGGATGGTTCTAGAAAAAACAAAGGGGAAAGGTGGTCTTCCTCCCCATGATACCCTCCATGAGAGAGGTAGGCAGGCTCTGATTCCTTTGTGAACCCGTTGTTCTAGGCCTGGTGAGATGGGGTCCCACTTAATCCACAAACATCTCTGCAACTGTCTGCTGGGAACGTGAATAGAGACACGGGTTACAGGCGCAGGGACCCAGGGACAGGGTGTGGAGGACAGGGGACGGGGGACAGGCCCCTTGCCAGCACTGCAGACGCTGCCAGGCCTCCGTGGAATGCTCCTGGCTTGGCAGACGGACGCAGGCTCCGTGGCTCTTAGGTGCGGGAGCCCTTGCCAGCCATGTTGCGCCAGCACATGGACGCCGGCGGGATTCGACTGAACATCACCAGCATCACCAATGGCAGCGTGGTGGTGGATTTCACCCTGCTCGTAATCGCAGACGTGGACATCCGGGAGGTGTCCGCTGCGTTCCTCAGCGCCCTTCACAACGCGTCTCGGCTGGAGGTGGTGAGAGGCGACCCCTTCATACAGGGTACGTGGAGGCCGGGCCGGAGGGCCACCTCCCCCAGCTCCGGAAGCAGCAGCAGCAAGGGCCCAGCCGCTGTGGTTCTGGAAGGTGTCCCAGGGCCTGCGCAGGGGTTGTCCCCGGGATTACTGGAGAGGTGGCACCGATGGAGCCCTCCGCTCTGTCCTTTGGCTACTGTGGTTGCTGTTAGGGTTTAGGGGATGGAGACCCCCTCGGGTGGACGCGCCCCCCATCCACCCCTCCCTGGTCACTCCGTGTACCCTGGGCAGCTGACTTGCCCAGGCATGGCTTCCCAGAGCCTGACAAGCAGTAGAAGAGAAAGGCTGGGAGAAAAAGGCCGTTAGATTCATTTGTCATCTCATACTTTAAAATAAATGGCAAATGGCTTATCATTACACATATAAAAATGGGGATTTTATAATGAGGGGTTAGTGTTTTCTTTTGGGGGGAGCGGATGAGAAGGATTTCCCAAGGAAAGTCAGATTTCTAGGGAAAAAAAGGCTGAACTACTTACCTACATAGAAATAGAAGTGTCAAGCAAAATTAAAGCACTATTACAAGGTGAGCAGAAAGCAAAAACAGAAAGTTTATTTTCACTGCTTTGATGAGGAATTGCTACCCTAACTAAATATGTAAAAGAGACCACACGGAAAGATGACAGTACGGAGACCCACAAAGCTTGCTGGGATGGGGGCGGGAAGGCAGGAGATAGAATTTGCTCACTTCCCCTGGAAATTGGCTTAGCAGTCCATGTCAGCACTTTCCAAAGGATCTGCCCATTTTGGGTCTGAGAAAGTGGACCTGTTTGGAGCACAGTTTATGCAAAGGTATTCACCCTCAGTGCTGCTTTAAGAGCAAAGCATCAGAAATGGCTACAGTCGAGTTGTAGGCCCTGCCCATGAGGGAACACAAGGCTCTGTCTTCTACACGCCGCACAGATTTCGACGAGTGTGCAAGCATGGAGCACGACTGTGTGCCCGGGACGGCCTGCCACAACACCTTCGGGTCTTTCGCCTGCAGCTGTGCGGGAGGAGCCTCCAACTTCCACGTGGAATTTTCTGGAAGACCCTGTGAAGGTAAGGACAGTCTCATAATCCTTTTCTGTCACACTGGCCCATAATCTGATCTCTTACAGACTTTTGTCGAAATGAAATCAGCATATCTTTGTCCTGGATAAGTTTCCTGTGTGTGTATATGTGAACACATACACATGGGTAAATGCACGGGTAGGCGGTGTGCACGTGTGCTGGAGTACGGCTGCGATGCTTTCATGTGTGTGTGCGCGTCAGTACTGTGTGCTTCTGGCTTAGTGTCCACGGCCCTCCCTCGTCTCCCACATGCGTTGGAGTGAGCGATGGTGGATTGCACGGGGGTCGCTGTGTGTGGCCGTGCGGGGAAGCAGGAGGCACCAGGATCAGGTGGTGTCAGGTGTGTCAGCATGGTCACAGACGGCTTCCTGGACGAGGTGTTTGGGGGCTGGCCGTCAGGGTTAGCAAGGACAGCACCAGGTAGGGTGGTTGGGGGTGAGGACTGGAATGAGAACAAGCTCCTGTGGGGGGGGGTCCCCACAGGCAGTCTGCCTGGGAGATTTGGGCAAGATGGAGGAGAGCCTGAGACATAAGATGGTGGAGGAGGGGAGGTGTGGGGGGGTGCACCCCGAGGTGAAGGGAGGTGAGCCCCAGTGCTTGTGGGGGCTGAGCTGGGCCTGGGAGCTGCATCCTGGTGGCCTGAGGGGCCTCTGAGGACAGTCTGAAGCCTCAGTGGAGGCCCCTGGACTTGTAGAGGCCGAGATGGGGCCAGTGTCGGGGCAGGCGGGAAGCCAGGGCAGGTGTGAGACCCCAGGAGTGCTGAGAGGCCTTCTCTGGGCCCCAGCTTAGAGACTGGTCCTGAGGACTGGTGATTGGCCCACCCACAAGCCTGGCCCAGCCCAGCCGGTGTGGACCCACGGCAGCTGGCAGCATGTGTGTAATAGGGCTCAAGTGAGCAGTCCGTGTCTGCCCCCAGCATGGAGGGCCTCTCCAGCTGGGGGCCTCTCCAGTGGC